CTATGATATTTGATTACTTGTAATGAGGTATGATGATGGCAATGACATCAAATGATGGGGAGAAACATCCTGGTGCTGACATCCAGGGGAGAGGAGATACCTCTAAATTTTTAAAATCTTGATCCTCCTTATATAGATTGAAGATTTTCTTTACAGAAAAAAAAAAAAAAACTTCATAAGCATTTTATATCATAATTTTCCCACTCTATTGGATTTTGTAAGTGCATATTTCTTATGATGTTAAGTCTTACATATACTTCCCCTCCCAGTGCTTCCACATATAGTAAATAGCTTTTATGCTTTTATTTTTATTTAATATTGCATTTTATTTTTAGTTCATTTTAGCTTTTTTTTATTCTTTTTGGTCCTTTTGAGTCAGGGTCTCCCTGTAGCCCCAGCTGGCCTGGAACTCACTCTGTAGACCAGGCTGGCCTTGAACTCACTGAGATCCACTTGCCTCTGCCTCCTGAGTGTTGGGATTAATGGCATGTGCCACCACACCTGGCTGCTTTTTTGTTTTTGTTGAGGAGAGTGATGAAAAAGTTGTTTGCTGATTCCATAATATAGCAAGTATATTTTACAATGACTTCCCATTAAGAAATAACTGCAGTGTGGCCTGGGTAGGACAACAGATGATGTTATTGAATAATTGTCCATTTTCTGAAGTGTGATAAGGTATTTTGTTTATGTGCAGACTGGGCATATATACGATATCTATAGCTTACTCTCATACAGTTCAGCTAAAACAAAAAAGCATATATGTATTACATACACAAAGCAAACAAGCAAATATTAGAAATGGATAAATAGATGAGTAGCATATGGATATTCAGTGTACATCTGTTCTTGCATTTTTTCTGTATGTTTGATGTTAAAAACTGATAATAAATAGACTGTAAACTGCTATTCTTCCCTATAGACTTCATTTTCTTGTTAGATTAAATTTTTCCCACTTCAAACTAGATGATACATTAGCTACACTTTTAATATTGGATTTGGAACTGTTTAAACATTAATCATGAGTAAAAACTGTGTTTTTAACTGAACATGATGACACAGACCTGTAATCTCAACAACAGGATCCTGCATTCAAGGCGAGCTGGGCTGAGTAATGAGACCATTATTCAAGAAGAAGTAGTAGTATACTAGCATAGTAGTATGTTTCTTTACTTTGCGGGCTTGTAGACTCTAAAGTCATAATGTTAGGAAATTCAGGAGTTCTAGGTGTTACTTTTGGCAGGAAAACAACTCTAGTCAAGTACAGAATAAAGGTTCTCTGCTACATAGACATGACTAACACTTTCTGAATTGAGATATATTATTGTAAGTCCTCTTTGTCTGTAGTTTTGATAGTGAGTGATTTAATACCAGCTGAATGTGGACTTTAAGTAAAATCTGTGCTTTTTTTTGTTTCTAACTTGGATAAATTTTGGGGGAAAGACATTTGGGTGTTCTGATTTTCCTGATTGTTTGAATTATTACTGATAGCCCATTATAATCAATTTTATCTCTGTAGATAAGAGTATATAAATTGCTCCAGATCCAAATCCACCAACAAACTTGGACTGATGAAGGCACGCCATCCATGCGAGAGCTTCGATCAGCCTTACTGGAATTTGCCTGTACCCACAACCTAGAGAACTGTACAACTGTTGCCACAAGGCTGTTTGATGATTGGATGGCATCGAATGGAAGTCAGAGGTGAAATGCATAGCTGCTCAAATTAATTCCTTTCCTCCCCTTTTCCTCACGTTGTATGCTGAAGCCAAGATCTTAGCCTGGATTGTGAAGATCACAAAACTGTTGATTTAGATGAACTTCGTATTATCTTATTCACAAGAATTTATTTTTTAATTGTGGAAGAATACATATAAAATTGGCCATCTTAACCTTTTTTTTAGTTTACAAGTAAGTAGGGTTAAGTACATTCAAATTATAGTACACAGGTCTCCAGAACTTTTGTACTCTTGCAAAACCAGAACTATGTGCTCACTAAACAACTCTCCACACTCCCCTCTCCATAGTCCCTGGCACCTACTGCCTTGCTTTGTTTTTCCATGAGTTTGACCCTGCTAGATACCTCATAAAAGTGAAATTGGATCGTACTTGTCCTTCTATAACTGATTCATTTTATTTAGCACAATGTCTTCAAGGCTCACGCATGTTAACATTCATTTGTTCTTAAGGAAGGAAGGAATAATAGTCTACCATGTGCATATACCATATTTTCTATGCATCTCTTCATGGCCTTCGAATTGCTTCCCCTCTTGGCCATTGTGAATAGTACTGTCATGAATGTCCACATACAAATAGATTTTGCAAATCTGTCTTCAATTCTTGTGGATATATATGCAAAATTGGTATTGCCAGGCCATAGGGAATGCCAGTATGTGTGTGTGTGTGTGTGTGTGTGTGTGTGTATGTGTGTGTGTATTTATATGAATACACATTTTCATGGAGGCTAAGGGGCAACCTCTGGTATTATTCCTCAGAAACACTGTTCACCTTGTTTTTTGAGACAGTGTCATTCATTGGCCTGGAGCTCACTGAGTAGACTTGTCTGGGAGACCCCTAGGGATCTCCCTGCCTCTGTCTCACCACGGGTACATGCCACCCCTCTAACTCTATTATGCAGATTCTGAGGATCAAACTTAGGTCCTCATGCTTGCATGATAAGCACTTTACTGACTGATTTCCCCAGCTCTCTCTTCCCTTTTTTTTTTTTTTGTCTTTTTGAGACAGGGTCTCCCTGTAGCCCCAGCTGGCCTGGAACCCACTATGTAGACCAGACCAGGCTGGCCTTGAACTCACAGAGATCCACCTGCCTGTGCCTCCTAAGTGCTGGGTTCAAAGGCGTGCGCCACCACACCCAGCTTCTATTTTTAATTTTTAAGGAACTTCTATGCTATCTTGTTTTCCATAGTAGCTGTGCCATTTTACATTCCCATTAACAGGGCATAAACATTCCAATTTTTCACATTTGTGCCAATACATTTTCTGGTTTGGTTTGGATTTTTGGTTTGGATTGGTTTTGAGACAAGAGGTCACTGTGTAGACCATGCTAGCCTCCTAACTCACAGAGATCCACCTGCCTCTGCCTCCCGAGTGCTAGGATTAAAAAGCATGTGCCACCACACACAGCTGGAATTAACTTTTTTCTTAACTCTAAATTTTGTAAAAATTTATAGCTATTACTTAATGTGACCCTAAAATACCACCAGTCAAACCCTTCCTTTTGTAGTCCTGCCAGCCTTTTTTGTTGTTGTTATTCTCATCCATCATTTTCTACTTTGCAGCCTCCCTACTGATGTCATGACAACTGTGTTCAAAGTTGGAGCCAAAACTGAGAAAGGCTGGTCATTCCTCTTAAGTATGTATACCACTGTGGGCTCTGAAGCAGAGAAGAATAAAATACTTGAAGCTCTTGCCAGCTCAGAGGATGTACGGAGACTTTACTGGTATGGAACCACTCAAGAAACATGATAGAAAAAAACTGAAGATAAAAAGCACTTGGCTCTTAGGACAGGAATTCATTTTCTCGAGTTCTCCCTTTGCCTCCTTTCTGTCATAAGCCAGATCTAACCTGGACAGTGTGGAGAGGAGCTTGTATGGGCTTGGCTTCATCTTGGGGATTGAACCTTTACAGATGTGCAGAATAAACTTTGTTCAAGAGATTTGGAGACATTAGGAATCACAACCCCACCTGCTCCCTGTTGGGAAATGATGTATTGAACTCTGCTGTTAATACCACATTCTTTTGGGTCATTGCTCTGGTCCAACTGCCATTTTGAAAATGCTGATACTTCAGAAAAAGCTATAAAAGCTTATAAGTTCTATCTTTTTTTTTTTTTTTCCTTTTTAAGACAATGTCTTCCTGTAGCCCCAGCTGACCTAGAACTTGCTATATAGACTCGGCTGGTCTTGAACTCACAGAGATCTGCCTGCATCTTGCCTCCCGAGTGCTGGGACTAAAGGCTTGCACTACCACACCCAGCTATAAGTTCTGTCTTTCTGTGAATTTGTCAGTCTTTTTTATAATTCCAGTGAGAATTGAGAGCTTCACATGGGGAAAGAAAGGCAGTAAGAGCTGACAGGAAGAACAGGCAGAGTGGCTCAGGTGGCCAAGGGAAATTTGAAAGTTCCTGGAGCTTAGAACACAGCCGTTGAACCCATACCAGGTGTAGAGGAGGGAGCACCTCAGTCACATTGCTTCTCTTACATAAGTTCCCTCAGATAAATCATAAATGTCCCAGAGACACCCTTAGCCCCTGCCCAAACCCACTTTCTAAAAGATGCTCTGTAAATAAGCATTTTCTTTAAAGCAGTGAGCAGCCTCTGACCTAAGCACAAAACATGATAAATTCCAATTATAACTATTCATACAACACCTGAGTTTATAGAGCAAAATGTGAAAGTATTTCTCAGAATCCTTCCCTTTGTTTTTCTCCCTCATCTGTTAATAGGACCAATATCAGCCTGTTTATTTACATGTAGAAATACACAGGTTCAGAATTTCTAACCTGAAAAGCTCTGAAGTGGAAACCTCTGGTCTCAGGCATTACAGACATGAGATACTCTCCTGTGGATACATCAGTGTATATATAAGTATTTAACCATGTTTTTAAAAAGTAGGTTGAGCCTATACCCAGTGGTTTATACCATTCTTTTTAGTAAATTATCACTCCTAAGATTTGCCAAGTTGCTTCATAAAAATCTACGTCATCTCTTTTTTGGCTACATGGTATATTCCACAGTATGGCTCTGTTATAATGTGACCTATCACAACTTGTTGCATTTGAATTTTTCTCCCTAAGAAATTTTTCATGTTCTTTTGGTGTTGTATATTTGCCTCAGTATAAGCAAATGGTATAGCATAGTAGCTAAAAACTGCTTCAGTGCTTATTAGCTGCAAACTATGGGGTGATTGTGTAATATCAAGTGTTTTTATGATAAAATAGAAATAGATAATATATGCCCACTTCATAGCTTAGTTCTGTTGAAGTACTAATAATATGTATTGAGTGTCTGGTATGGTAGCTCATGCCTTTAATCCCAGCACTCAGGAGGCAAAGGCAGGTGGATCTCTGTGAGATCAAGGCCAGCCTGGTCTATATAGTGAGTTCCAGCCAGGCTGGGGCTAAGGAAACCCTGTCAAAAAACAAAAAATAAAAGTATGTATTGAGATGTCTTCCCATCATTATTGTCAAATCATTTAAACAGCCCAGGTTTTTAGAGTAGTTATATCTCTACCTACTCGGATTACACCAGAAAAATGTACCAGTCTTCGAAACTGTAATAAATTCCAAAAAAGTTTTCTTCCTGTATCACAAACTATTATTATGTAAAAACTGGTGAAGGACTGGAGAAATAGCTCAGCAGTTAAGGGCACTGACTGCTCTTGTAGAGGACCCAGGCTCAATTCCCAGCACCCACATGGTGGCTAACAGCCATCCCTAACTCCAGTTCCAGGGAATCCAAAGCCCTCTTCCAATCTCCGTGGGCATTGTACGACACGGGTGCACTTACATACATGAGGCAATATGCTCATTGCACATGAAATAAAAATAATAATTTTTTTAAATGTGGTGAGTTTTTTCTGTGTAGACTAGTCTATTCCAGCCCTACTTAACCTTGAATTGATACAGAACTTTATATAGGAACCCAATACCAAGTTAAGTTCAGTCATTTCTTCATGAATAGTTTTTTTGAAGGCTAAATCTGTTTTGTTCTTCAGGTTAATGAAAAGTAGCCTTGATGGAGATATCATCCGAACACAGAAGTTGTCACATATAATTAGAACAGTGGGCAGACACTTTCCTGGACACTTGTTGGCATGGGATTTTGTGAAAGAGAACTGGAATAAGCTTGTACATAAGTAAGTTTCTCAGAGAATGAATGACTGCCATAGTTTTCTCTGGCTGTGTGTATGTGTGGAAAGAGCTCTCAGTCTTGCTGGATCACCCAAGTTAGGATTTGCTGTAAGAGGAGAAACACTTCTTAGATACCAGGATTTTCTGTATTTATAAACATTCTAGAACATAGGTCAATAAGCAGTGGTGTTCCATTCAAACACTAATCAAGTCTAGGCATTCCTGACACCAGGTTGTTCCTCTCAGTACAGTCATTGACTTTCAAAATAGCTGTTTAGTTGTGCATGTTGGAAATATCTCTTTATCATCAAGGTATCACAGTCTTTATCGTTAAGGAATCAGTTAGCTAGATAAGAGACTTCTTTCTTCCTCTTTTAAAGTAATAATGAGGGATTGTAGATTTAGCTCAGTGGTAGAGTGTTTGGCTACAAGTGCTAGGTCCTGTGTTTGGGCCTTTGCTCTGCGGTGGTAAAAGAAAAAAAAGGACAAAATTAAAGCAGTAATGATATTTCTGAGTGTAGGTTATCTGGAGAATTAAATTAAAAATTTATCTGACAATCCTAAACTCCTACCTCCTTTCTTATCCAGTGGCATAAGTGTGTAGTGATGTACCGACACCTTGGGCTCCGGTTCCAAGAGGAAGACCCCACTCTGCCTTTGCATTAAAGCAATCCCTTCCCTCTCTAGAACAGTGCTTTGGTTGTCATCAGCTGCCTCATTCTTTTCTCTTGTATTTGTGTTTCTTCAGGTTCCATCTGGGGTCCTATACCGTGCAAAGTATTGTTGCTGGATCAACTCACTTGTTTGCAACAAAGGCACATTTGTCTGAGGTTGGTGATAGAAAATACTAGCAGGGTAACTGAGTAGCCCTCTCCCCTTAGGCTGCTCTGTTAAGTAAATGGGAGGCTTTTCATTCAGTCTCTTCTGCCTACCTTCATCAATGTTAATAATTCTGCACTGATATTATTTTTAGAGGTCTGCATATGCAGTGAGGAGGTAAAATTCTGATCCCATTCCCAGCACTACTTGCTGTCCCCTGGGTAGAAATAATTGAAGTGATAGTGAAACTGTTTTGAGGAATTTCATTTAAAAGATGAATTTACTTACCAAGACTAATTGTAGATTTCTTCAGAATTCTTTTTGTATCTTCATAGTAAATAGTAAAGAATGAAGTAGGAAGTAGTCGATAAAGGAAGGAACAGATATACTGTGGTAGTAGTAGGCACAAAGAGTGTTTTCTTATTTAAAAGCTCTTCATAAATGACCGTCCTTTACTGACATTTCCATGTAGATACTCGGATTGTTAAAGTACATCTAAGTATCAGCATTGCTGTCACAAAGTTAAAACTTATTTCAAAAGGCTGATCAGAGTAACCTGAAACTTACTGCCCTTTTCTTGTTTAAAATACTTTGTGGAACTTACAGGTCCAGGCATTCTTTGAAAATCAGTCAGAGGCAACCTTCCGGCTTCGTTGCGTCCAGGAGGCTTTGGAAGTCATTCAGCTGAACATCCAGTGGATGGAGAAGAATCTGAAAGCTCTGACGTGGTGGCTGTAGTATGACAGTGACCTTCTGCCCCCCACTTCAGAGAGCTGTGAACTTGGGCTCTGCTGCTTTTGCAAAAGTTGAGGTGAAGCCGGGACCGCTGCTGAAGTTGTTTGCACTGTTAGTTCTAGCTAGCTCAGGGCCCAAATGTACTTTTCATGTCTTTTCTAAAATGCCCGTAGGCAGTATGTAGTTATTTATTACAAAATTGTATTCACCTGTATGCCTGCCAGCTACAAAAAAAAAGTGAGTCATTTTTCTTTGAACATACAAATGGAGAAAAAAATCAGATTTGGTCAGTGTCCAGAAACTGCTGACACAGTGAAACCGGGGAAGGTCTGTCATAAAAACTGCCGTGTTTGCAGGCCGCCGATTTGTCAGCACTGGTTGCTTCCTGTTGATAGATGCACCCAGAATGTGGTAGCTAGGCTTGTAGTGTAGTGAGAAGACAGTGAAGATGCAGCTGTAGACAACTGATCTCAGGTGTGCAGGTCTACTCTGATCGGGGGTTCTGTGTGTTCTTGACTTTTCTTAAAAAAAAAATCTTAATATCTGCGACTATTAAACTTCCTGCAGAATAGCCAGGTGCTACAGAATTTATCTTTTTGTTGTTTTATTGAACAGCTGAAAAATTCAACTTTCAAAATACATTTACTTTTCTGTTTCATCTTTTATAGCATTACTATAGGAAAATATTCAAACTGAATTAGCTTTAATGATAAGTACTTTATTGATGAATGTCAGTATCCCCAAATCTGTACACCATCACTGGTCCTGCCCTAGATAGACCTTATGCTACAGGTGAATATTTCTATATTTGTGGAAGAACACTTGGTTCTGTTAAGCACTGGTGTTTTTGTCATAACTTTGAACACCAAGAATGTAATAATTGTTTAAGTTTAACCTCACAAGTCATACCACTCCCTGTAAATCATACCCATGCATGGATTTTCATTTTATATGTTATAGTGGTATATTGGAAGCATTTATATGATAGGGCCTTCAAGAATTTTTTTTTAATTTGAAGTTCACCATAGGAACAAAAAGAAGGTGGGACAGGAATAAGTTGAATTAATGTTTAGTACGGTGGGCTTTGAAGTTTTTGCCACTGTTAAAAAAATTAGTTTTTCTTTTATGATGGCCAAACTAACATTGAATAGACAAGGAACAAGCAAAAGAACAGTGAGGGGGTATCCAAACTGAAAACATTTTCACTCCTTCTGAGGAAGAAATGCTGTACTTGAACCTTTTGAGCTATGCAGACTTATTTCTAGATTGTTGTGTTTCTTTGATTCTTAGGAGAGAAGTTTTCTTCCTGATAACTCATGAGAACTCTATATTTTGTTTGGAAGCATTGTCTCTGTACATACAAAGGGAGTTACTCATTTATGAGCACTTAAAACACTCCACAGAGTCAGACAGTAGGAAAGGCCACCTTTTATATTCAGCTGATATAAAGTTAGAATATGTGGAGTTGTATACAAAGTTATAGTTTATTTTATGAAAATATTTTTATATAACAAAATTTTAATGACTGGCAAGCTGAAAAATAGCCTGCTTTAGTCCTAGTATGTTTCCTCCCAATTTAGTCTTTTCTGAGCATTTATCTGTTTTTGAGTAGAAAATATTATTCCTGAGAATCACAGAATCATCTTGATGTCTTACCGAAATGGGTAATTGTAGATCTTTATTCTCCTTGTACGTTGGTAAATGAATGATAGTTTAGTTGCTGTTGAAATTTAGTGGGGTTTTGTATTGTCAGAGTGAAGGAAAAACACTAACTCTTAAGAGGGTTTGGTTGCTTTTTTCCTCCCATGTTCTATTACTAAATTACACTTTGATACAAAGTTTAACTTTTGCTACTTTCAACATCAGTTCAGGTTCTTCAGACTACCCTACCCATTATCCATTGTGCATTGCCCTAAAGTGTATGTAACTGCATATGGCAAATCTTGTCTTACATTAGATAACTTTTGAGTATGAATGCATGTTATATGTGGTGTTCTAAATAAAACCTTATGAAAATAATAGGCTAAAAAAGAGGTAATTCTTAATCCACTGCTGATCAAGGCTATTCATGACCTTGGAGCCATAATATTTGCAGTTTTATTTATAGGAGGCCTCACTTTAATTTTCCAACAGAATTCTGTTAAGTCTTCATGCTTTGCTAATTCACTTATGTGGGACCTCTTAGAACTAACTCAAAGTTAAAAATGTAAGTTTATTTATAGTATTGGTAGCATTCAGATTCCCCTCCTCCCTAATTTAATCTGTTCATGTTAAAGCACAGAAGTCAGAGTATGCTTTTAGTATAAGCACATATGCCTGACACTATTGAGTAGCAGTTGAACAAGCATTCTGCTCGTTACAGAGAAAGTGTGCACTTGAATGTATCATGAAAGGCACATCATACTAGATCATTAGGAAAACTAGAATTGGAACTCTAGGTCTGTGAAAAGAAAATTTGATTTGGAGATCTGAAAGGTTATGAAAGTAGAAATTAGATTAGTAGAGTTTATTTTGTTAGTGTGAAGTTTTTCTAATAACGTGAAAGTAAGGACGGCTTCCCGTCAGAAGCTTGTGCCTTCTTCTGTCTCTTTCTATTTATGTGACTTTTAAAATGAAACTGTATTTGTCATTGCTTCAGTGTTCACGAGCTTTTTTGCTATCACAGGTTCTACTTCACTGATTTTCTTTGTCATATGTGTTTTCATTCTATGAGACTTTGGCCACCATTGCAACAAAAGCTGCAGAAGAGTCCTGGGTATAGAGAGCAAGTCCAGCAGCTCCAGTTACTGGGCACCAAACAGTCCTTTCTGCATATCAGGAAGAAACTAAAATTCAGTGCTGAGTTTGTTGGGTGACTGATAGCCTGTTATTGAATTGGATTTTAAGAGTCTACTTAAATCTAAAGCATCTGGAACTATAATCTGCAACCAGGCTGATGAGCACTTATGTAAGCCCATGTGTTCCGTGGGCTCCAGGGAGGGTATAGTGTATTGCAGGTGTGCCATCCCCAAGGACAGCAGTTCCTGAGCTGATTTCAAAAGTAGGCATGGGTTTACCTCTGTAGGCCTCTAGGAATTTGGGATTATAGGTAATGATGTAGCGCTTCTCACCTTTGCCTTACTTGTTTATACTGGAATTCATTCTTTTTTAAAAAACAAAACAAAACAAAAACTTTCTCTCCCCTCACCTCTGTTTGTATTTTTTTTTAAACTAAAGTATATATTTTTGATGGGTTTTGTGTTTCTATTTTCTTCAATCTCTGCAATGGCAAAGAAGTACAAAATGAAAAGTGGAAGTCGAATAACATGATGAATCTCTTCTCCACATCCTTTATTGCCTCCCTGGGCAATGACTAGTAGGATAGGTGATTGGCTTTTAGAGGGTTTGGGGTTTTGGTGGGGAGGGGTTTGATACATATTTTTTAAATGTGCACATGTATTTTGGTATGTTTTTATATTTCATTTTGTAAATTTTGTCCTGGTGAAGGGTAAAATACTGTCCTATGAAAATCCCTCTCCTCTCTTCATATTGCCTATTGTGGGCAGTAGCTACAGAGTAGTTATTTGGTTTTCTTTTTTAAAAGCATTGGTAGTTTAGGGGAGGGAAAAGGGGTAGCTCCTTTTAAAGGTGTAGAAATGATTTTGCTGCTATTTATGACGTATTTAGTGCTGCCCTCATACATTCTTCTTGTGGACATGCATGTAAATGCTGCAGGTCCACATGGATGCATGGATGGGCAGTAACATTAGTGGCAGGCAGTGGCTGTTGCTGTGGTCTAGTCTTAGGAATTTGGGTTATCTCATTCAAGCACATTATAGATGCTATTCTACTTTTTATATTTATCTTTGTTTCTTTACATAGATGCTATATGCTTAATGAACATTACAACTGAATATGACAGAGCTTTTTACTTTTCCTTGATGCCTTTTGAGGGAATAGCTAATAGTTTGTCTTGTTTGAGAATGTGGGCGAAAGTAGAGTATGTGCCCAGTTGTATAAATGTACTTGCTACTATTTTGTATTACTAATTCATTTTATACTGTGTCTTTCAAGTGGATGTGAAAGTACCTGGTGACATGTGGAAGACTGGAAGTGTGACAGTCACCTGTTCTTCCCACCTGCTGGGCAATAAGAATGGAGTAGTTATATTGGAGGAGGGGTGCGGGGAATTGTACCTAATGTCTGCATATATGTTCTTGTATCAATGTATACATTAATAAAATATGTACTATATTGTATTAATACATTGGGTACACAGACTGAAAAGTACCCAGTGGTCCATGGAGTTCCACATGTATAACAGTGTCCCCTTTCCCTTTCCCTTATTGCCTATGGGCAGTACTTTTTAAAGTAGTTTGAAATTTGAGTTTTTTTTGAAAAGCATTTTTTTGTTAGAGAAATTAGTTTGTAGGCACGGGTATAATCTTTTAAAGTATATATAGGTGCAAGCAGTATCTAGTAGAGTAGGTAATGCTTTGGGCCTGTTCCTGTGTTGGGGTGGCGGGCCTGGCTATGCTTTCCCTGAGCACATACTTTTTCTTCTTTGTCACTGCATTCATTGGTTGCCTGTCTTGCACTTGGACTTATAGTTTCCTGATGAACCATGGAGCTCTGGGTCTTAACAGTCTCCTTCCTTGCCTGTTTTGTCTATGTGGGCAATACCTTCCAAGTAGTTGAGGGATTTTCTTTTCTTTCTTTTTCTTTTTTTTTTAAGGCTTAGAGGGGACTAAGGGCAGGATATGTACTCTTAAAATGTATATAGTTTTTATTACTTCATTTTGTACTGAGTCCTTTGCATGGGCATACAGGTACCTAATGAAATATGGAGGTCCGGATGTATGAAAACTTCCTCTTTTCCCCTTTCCTCATTGCCTCTGTGGGCAATAGTTACAGAGTAGTATAGATTTTCTAATTCTACCCCACCCAGAAGGGTGGCTATGTATATACTTTAAATATGTATATAAATATTTTTATCCTTTTTTTCTGTTAATTCATTGTGTACCTGGGTTTGTCTGTGGACAGTTAGGTACATAAGGAAAATTGAGGTTCATTCTATGAAAAACTCTCCCCTTTCCCCTTCCCTTATTGCCTGTCTGGGCAATGGCTAGTAGAGTAGTTGTTCGCTTCTTTGGCAAGGGTGGGGTGGAGTAGTTCGGTTTTTTGTTGTTTTTTTGTTGTTGTTGTTGTTGTTTGGTTTTGTTTTGTTTTGTTTTTGGTAGGGTGTCTCTAGTCCCAACCTGGAAGTCATTATGTGGACCAGGCTGGCCTCAATCTCACAGAGATCCATCTACCTCTGCCTCCCAAGGGCTGGGATTAAAGGCATGTGCCACCATGCCCGGCTGGGTTTTACTCTTTTGAATGTACATAAAAGTTTGACAGATTTTTTCAGTCATTCATTCCCAACCTGTTTTTGTGTTTGAAAAGACAAAAGTATAAACCCAGAGGCCTGTACTGTAGTGTAGTGGTGTATGAGTACTACCGGACTTGCTTGCTTTTTGTTTGTTTGTTTGGGTTTTTTAATAATGGGAAGTGGGCTTGCTAACGAAAAAGGTAACCATGTATATATATTTAGCTGTGGAAATGCTTTTTCCCCTTTGTTGTGTTAATATCATTTTGAGCCTGGGTTTTGGCATGACTGTTTATTAACAGGTACTTAATGAGTGCTGAGATTGACTCTATGAAAACTCTCCACACTCCCTGTCCCTTATTGCCTAGTGGGCAATGGTAGAATAGGTGTTTGTCTGTCTGTTTGTGGGGGGGTGTCTGGGTGTACATATGTTTTTAATGTATATAAATATTTGCTATATTCTGTGTATTATTTCACATAGCCCATTACTTTGCTGGGACTTGTAGATACTTAATGAACATGGAGGTCCAGACGTATGATAATTCTCCACTGCTCCCCTTCCCTTGTTGCCTGCAGAGGCAATAATTTTATAACTTAGGGGTTTGGGGGGTTTGTTTAGGTGGGTAGTACTTAGGGAAAAGGGACAGGGTTTATGCTTTTAAATATATATATATATATATAAATATTTTTATGTTACTGATTAGGTCCCATGTCCTTTGCATGGATAAATGGGTACCTAATGAAAATTGAGGATCAATGTATGACATACCTCCCATCTCCCCTTTCCCATATTGCCTATATTGGCGATAGTGAGTACAATAGTTAGTTGTACATTATTTACTTATTTTGAAGGTTTATTTTTGACAAGAGAATATTCTTAGTATACAGAGTTTTCCTTTATTTGATTTTGTGCTGAGTTCTTTCAATGGCTATAAAGGGCATAATAAAAATTGAGTTTAAGAATCTGACAGAGCACATCCTTTCTCACATATTCCCTTGTTTAGAGGTAGATAGTAATGTTGTCCTGTGATAATTCTGTGTTCTCTAGGATATATACCTTAAGGATGCAAATGCATAACACATATATATGTAAATTTCCCATTTGCCCCCATTATTTCCCTTTAATAATTAGTCCTTTGCAGGACTCTAGCTACCTGTATGCAGGAAAAATAAAGACTCATGATGTCTTGGGCATCTGGCTGGAAGATGCAGCCTGGGACACCATGTGTGATGATAGGTAATAGGCATACAGCAAATACGATGAGAGAGGACACTTAGAAATGGTTGAGTTTAAGAGCTAATCAGATCCAATATTTCTAGTGGTGAGTTAAACCCAGTTGGTGAAAAGTGACTTGTAGTTTTGTAAGTACCATAAAAGTAGAGGACAGTGCTGAGTAAAAGTGTGTTTAAAGGTCTTTGTGGATTGAAGGTAAGCCACTGAAGCTCATGAGCTTATAATAGTACTCCCGACAACTCATTTCAAGATCCATTAAGAATAGTGTCTGTGTGAGATCTGGAACTCTAATCTCCAGAATTCTGTTGCAGTTTTGTCAGTAGCATGTTCTTGTATATCCAGGAGAAATTGTTTTTATTCTTAGAATGAATCTTTTGAGTAATTGCCAACTGCTCCAGTGACTGACAACATGATCCCAGAAAGAATTAGAGGGGCAAGTACTTTCCATCTTTCAACATATGTGTCAGGGCAAATTGGCCCTTTCTTACCCAGAACTCTTTTGTGTGGCTGAGTCTCTTTCCTCAGTTCTCCATTAACTAACTAGACCATTCCTGTTCTTTTTTCCCTTCTCCCTTCAGTGTCTGTATCGTTGTTAGATGCTATCTTCAGTTGTACTCAGAAATTTAAGCTAATGCTGCCTCATTAGCCTTGTGTTTCTGTATGCATTTCATGTGCTTAGGCCTGTTTGCTCTCAGTGTTCTTATATCATATTTCACGTTGTCTTTTCATCCACCACATGGTAAATGTTATGACTACACACTTGTCTGCATCAAAGAAAATGCATTTGCAAACCTCCCTCTTTTCCAGCATCTTAGCTTTGTTTTATTTTCACATTTTTAATAATTCTATTCCATGGCAAAGATTTGTCATATTGATATTTAAGAAACATTGAGTGATAGGACTCCTAGAAAATGCTCAAAGAAATGTTATTTACCATATCAAACTCTCAGGAATGTGTTGAAAAATTAGCCTAGTAACATTGCTATTTCTTATACCTGCTGCTGCAGAAAAAAAAAAGTTTATTCATGAGACATTTAACTTTGATCATAAATAAAAGAGAAAGGGCCATGTTTTTGGAGTTAGTCATGGTAGTCATTAGTGATATTTCTGAACAGTTCTTAATTTGAAATACTTCAAAGGAAGTAAAGGTCATGGCTTAGCTCAAAGAAATACTGCAGAAGTCGAGCTGTATAAATCATCAGTACAATAATACGCTTGTGTGTGCGTGTATACAATGAGAATTGCAGTGTAATTGAAACATTCGGATTAATCAGCAAACTCGCATTGAGACAAACCTTAGTCTCACAGCTGTCTTGATTAAAGCCAAGTGTTCCCTATTGCTGTGAAGAATAGTCTCTTTCAAATACTTTGGAAAGTAATTACTTGGGAACTTACAAAGGTATTACATTTTTTTGTATTTAAACACGGGTAGAAACTTCAGTTCCTTAAGTCTGAGTTTATGGGTGGAATTCTAAATTTGATCCTAATCTGTTTTTTGTGGAAGACTTTGAAAATAGTATGTGTATATATAATGTTGTATCTGCAAATTGTATTGTTTCACTTGTATAAGGGAAAAGCTTATTTTTCTTTATATTTCTTGTTTTGCATATGACCAGCACTGACTGAAAGGCATGTTTAACTGCAAACACTGTTGCTTTCTTTGTGAAATGAAAATAAAAGTATTTAAATACAGATATTGTATCAGTTCTTCAGGTTAGGCAAAGTACATCTAAAAAGTGTTTATTCTCAGATACTGAGCTCTCCCCAGCCATTCCCATATATATACACA